GGGAGCAGCCCAGCCACGGGGACCTACCAGACCACGAGCAAGACCGAAGGGAGCCTCCACAACAGCTGCGGGGCTGGTGCACTGACTGAGCACATGCTGGAATAGAATAATTAAAATTAAAAATAAAGAGTCGAGAAAATAAAACCATTGTTTTAAATCAAGTCAAATGAAATAGGTTTCTCACCTGGACCAAGCAAGCTTGGATGCAGAGGAACACAAAAGTGAAGGTAGACATGTTTGATGTTCAACGAGGAGCTGAAGACTGAATGATCAACTGGATTGATCCCCAAGCTTATATACTTGACACACTATTCATATCAACGACGAGAATTCACATTGTGTAACTATACAAAAGTGTTTCAATACTAACAAAGTGCGTTTCTTTGTTGGTCAATTAGTAGGCTTATCAAGTTTTGTAAGCTTCGTAAATTCACAATAACAATTACCTATATTTTTGAAAGAAACTGATAACATGATTTAGTATAAAACCCGCGACAGCAGCACTGGACATCATTCTCGTGTCAGCACTAGAACAGCAACATCATGTCTGTGAAGGCTATCCTCGTCCTCTGCGCCCAGGCGCTCCTCGTCAAGGTGAGAATTATTTCTTGTTTCAAACCAATATGGAGTAGTTCTATGTTATATGTTACTATTTTGTAGTAGTATAACCTGTCGTATTTATTTTCAAGTCTCTTTTAACTTTCAGTCAGCTCTCAGCCAAGCTTGGGCTTGCTCTTCGTATCCTAGCCAGCCCTTGCGTCCTCGTTGCTTCTTAACTTGCTAGAAAGTTGTGTTTTACTAACTAATTAATTGTTTGTTCTAGTCTGCCCTCAGCCAGTGCACCAGCCGCGCTGCGGTCGCTGAAATCTCTCCACTAGCCGCTCCTTACGGCCTGGCTGCTCCCGTCCTAGGCACTCCTTGTGGACTGGCCGCTTCTGAGCTTGTCGCTCCTTGGGCTGGCTTTGGAGCTGCTGGTTTAGCCGCTCCTTACGGTCTGGCTGGTAGAGGCCTGGGTTACGATGCCATCATCGGTGGCCCCGCTATGGAGTTCAGCCCCACCAGTGGTGGTGGTATGCCTGTGACCAGTGGCTCAGCCATCGCTCCCGTCGGTATCTCCGTAGCGTCTGACAATGTTTATGAGGGTGCTCTGGAAGTGATTGGAGAGCTGCCATTTGTCGGAACTGTCGCTATGGAAGGAGTAGTGCCCTCTGCCGGTGCTGGTGCCGTCAACCATGCCTGTGGTAATGGCAGGACCGCCATGGCCAGTGGCTCTGCTGCCTATGCCCCGGCTGCTGCACTGGCTCCTCTTGGTGCTTACGGTCCCGCTGGTGCCTTCGCTCCCGCTGCTCTTGCTGCTCCTGGCCTCGGGCTCCGAGGTGATCTGATGGGCAGAGGCTGCGGTTGCGGATGGGCCATCTAAAACCTCTTGGCCACTCACCGAAAATATTTATGAGCTCTCGAACTGAATACATCAAAATTGTCTATCACATAACCTCAATTTTATTTGATACCCTATTTTAAAATAGTACCGGGTTGTCATGTTCATATCCAAATCTCGTTTGTTAATCTTTAAAAGCAGTCATTTCCAAGGTCAAAGTCAAAGCCTTTATTTCAATTAATTCTTATTTAGGTACGTTTACAATTTAATCGTCCGTCCGTCTGTGTGTCAGTGAAGCTGAAATAAGGTCGTGGTTGTAAATGGGTTATCTGAGACACATTACGTGATGGTATATGTATAAACGAAACTATTGAAATAAATTGGAACTTAACAATAATTTATGTTTATTAATGTGTGTCTTATTTCTTATTTTATTATCATTTTCGATTATCGCAATTAGTGGACGTAGTAAAAAAATATAAATTATAATTTTATTAAACTATTTATTGAAACAGAATAGCTGCATTCTCACGATAAAAATAAGCTGCATCATCGCTTACACCAGGCGAGATAGTGGCCAAACGTCGGCTCATCGAATAAAAAATAAAAATAAATAAATAAAATAAAAAGTGTGGGAGAGCCAGGCACGAATGGCCAGCTCGATCGGAGTAACACCACAGGCTCACAGCAAATCCGACGTTAAGCAACGCTTGCGTTGTGTTTCATCGTAATAAGAAACCATTTACAACTTAAGATACACAAATTAAATAAAAGAAAACAAAAACACCTATGTAGGTAACTGTAAGAATTATACAATTTATTTGCATCTTAAAATAAACCTAAAAACTAACAAAATTACATTAACAAATCTATACACACACACCTACATACATTTATATACATATTTACATTTTGTACGGAATAAATAATACTCCCTTACCAGTTGGTCGATAAAAATTCCATCGATAGTCGATAATTGTAATCCTATCGACAGAGCCCTCATCACTAATTACCAATATAGTTATAACTATCGATAGCTACCGATGATCTCTTACCAATGCGTGTGCGCATATCTGTCAAACCAGTCTTGCCGAGATTTAGCTACGACGCGCATAGATAATTCTTTCACTTGCTTAACGCTGTTAAACTACACTAATTCTATCGCAAATATCTTCTATCTATTCCTTACTACTTCTAATACTGACTGTCTTCTCGCTATCTCTGTGCTGTGCTTATTTATGTGCTTGTGACTTTCCTACTGCGCCTTCTGTACTAAACGTGTGTCGGATCCATCGGATAAACTTGGTGATACGTGAGTCGAACTTTTATTTACACCACGAAATACCCGACACCATCAGACTACTCATCTAACAACCAAACCTATTAACACAGAGCATCAAATAATTGTTTGTGTGTTTGTTGTTACTTAATCATGTCAAAACGGCTGAGGGGACGGGGGTGAAATTTATAACAGAGGTAGATTATGATCTGAAATGATGCATACGCTACTTTTTACCTCGGTAACGTGGGCGAAGACATAAGAACGATAACCAAGCTTACAAATGCTCTTGAACAAGCTTTACGACTTAAGTGGAAATGGGCTGGTCACCTGTCAAGATACACAGACAAGAGATGGTCTTTAGAAGCTCCTAAATGGGCAGGATCTGCGGGAAAACGAAGCAAAGGCGTATTAAACGTTGGGCTGATGATATAAAAGAAGTAGCAGGTAAAGAATGGTTGAAAGACTCTTAAAACAGGGATAAATGGAAGGAATTAGAGGAGGCTTTTACCCAAAAGGGGTTCTTTTAAAAGGAACAGCAAGAGAATAATAATATTAATAATAAACCTACTTACTACAATTATAAACTAACCTAATTTAAGAAATTACTAATACTTTGAATTGTAAATGTACTTTTACACTGAAATAAAAAAGCTTATATATAATAACGCGGGCGAAACCGCTGGCAGAAGCTGGTAAAATAATAAAACTTTAAATTGAATGAACTTGCACACCTAGCATTATACGACACCTGTCGAGGCACGAGTCATTTGTTTCATAAACAAAAGTATCATGTTACTTACTGCAGGGTACTGAACGGCATTGTGTTGAGTTTGGATATTGGTATTTTAAAACAACCATGTTATATTATTTATATAACATGGTTGCAAGTCTTGTAACGTTTCGGAATCGGTCGATCGAATAAAGAATTATTCTTGTTAGTTTTTTAAAATCTTATGTAATTACATAAGATTTTTAATTGTTAGTTAAGATTAATTTAACTATACCTATTTATAATTATAAGTAGGAACAGTTAAATTAATGATAGATTTTTTAAATATTAATGGTATTCAAATTTAAATTTATCCGAAAAAGCTTGAAGGTCACATATTTTTTTTTTCTTTATTAAAAAACGTTGCCCCACACTAGGATTTTCTCCTGTGTCGTGGGTGCGTTTACAAACATACAAGTTCACATACACAAAGACACCCAGACCGGAATCAACAATTTGTGGATCACACAAAGTGTTGTTCCGTGCGGGAATCGAACCCGCGACACGTTGCACGGCAGCCAGTTGCCCAGCCACCGCACCAACCGTGCAGTCAATTATGTTTGGGTACACAGTAATCTAATTGTAAAACCAGGGCTTATAAAAATATTATAACAAAGAAAGATAGAAATACAGTTTTTGGTATCAGCAATTTAATAACAAAATCAGCAAGTCCATAGTCATATGCAAATAGTTTGCTTAGTAGTAGATTGGAGCATTGCAGCCGCAAGCACACTGTCCGGTGATGGAGACGGAGCCAGCAGCAGCCACAGGGCCACCGAAGCTCACAGCACCCATGATGGGGACCTGACCAGCGACGGCGGTAGTACCAGCGACTGGAAGCTCACCAGCGACCGCCACGTTGCCTTCACCAGCACCGCCGTAAGGAGCGGCACCAGGGTAGGCCAGACCATCATAAGCTAAAGGAGAAGCCAGACCGAATGGAGCGGCAATGCCAGGAGCAAGAATTTCAGGAACAGCAAGGCCGGGAGCAATAAGGCCATTGGCAGCTAGGCCAGGAGCAGCCCAACCACGAGGACCAACCAGACCACGAGCAGCTAAGCCAGGAGCGGCTAGACCGAAGGGAGCCTCCACAACAGCTGCGGGGCTGGTGCACTGACTGAACACATGCTGGAATAAAATAATTATGATGAAAATAAGAGGCCAGGGAACAAAAAAATGTTTTTAATGTGTCAAATAAATATATTTCTCACCTGGACCAAGCAAGCTTGGATGCAGAGGAACACAAAAGCGAAGGTAGACATGTTTGATGTTCAACGAGGAGCTGAAGACTGAATGATGGAATTGGTCGGTCCCCGAGCTTATATACTTGACACATTGTCCATATCTACCGCGAAGAGTTCACATTGTGTAACTATACAAATGTGTTTCAATACTAACAAAGTGCGTTTCTTTGTTGGTCAATTAGTAGGCTTATCAAGTTTTGTACGCTTCGTAAATTCACAATAACAATTACCTATATTTTTGAAAGAAACTGATAACACGGTTTAGTATAAAACCCGCGACAGCAGCACTGGACATCATTCTCGTGTCAGCACTAGAACAGCAGCATCATGTCTGTGAAGGCTATCCTCGTCCTCTGCGCCCAGGCGCTCCTCGTCAAGGTGAGACATATTACAGCATTTTACTCTTTAAATAAAATTTGTGTGGGTTAATTAATCTAAAACCAAAATACTTGTTTCTCCATTTCTAGTCTACCCTCTTTGAATTAATTAAAACAAATATTTTCAATATGGTGTAAAAAATACAGTTTCAGTTTTAGAAGTATTGTCCTTATTCTAATTGTTCTTTTTATTTTCAGTCTGCTCTCAGTCAGGCTTGTGGGTATGCTGCCCCCATCCTAGCCAGCCCTTGTGGACTGGCCGCTTCTGAGCTCGTTGCTCCGTGGGCTGGTCTTGGAGCTGCTGGTTTAGCCGCTCCTTACGGTCTGGCTGGCAGAGGCCTGGCTTACGATGCCATCATCGGTGCCCCCGCTATGGAGTTCAGCCCCACCAGTGGTGGTGGTATGCCTGTGACCAGTGGCTCAGCCATTGCTCCCGTCGGTATCTCTGTAGCGTCTGACAATGTTTACGAGGGTGCTCTGGAAGTGATTGGAGAGCTGCCGTTCGTGGGTACTGTCGCTATGGAAGGTGTAGTGCCCTCTGCCGGTGCTGGTGCCGTCAACCATGCCTGTGGTAATGGCAGGACCGCCATGGCCAGTGGCTCTGCTGCCTATGCCCCGGCTGCTGCACTGGCTCCTCTTGGTGCTTACGGTCCCGCTGGTGCTTTCGCTCCCGCTGCTCTTGCTGCTCCTGGCCTCGGTCTCCGAGGTGATCTGATTCGAAGAGGCTGCGGTTGTGGATGGGCCATCTAAGTCTTAATTGCCTCTGAACCTCTTACCAATATATTGATTACAAACTAAATAAATCAAAATCGTAAATCACATAACCTCAATTTTTTTCAATACCCTATTTAAAAATAGTGCCTCATTGTCCTATTCATATCCGAATTTCGTTGTCGCGGAGAACCTAACGGGTAACCGGGGCTCCGGCTCGACGTGCAGGAGAAGGAACGGGGTGGTTTTTAGTCAGTAAGAGTCTGACACTCCCTTCCGCCTCGCCCAGGTGGGAGCAGTCATTCGATGATTTTCACCCCTTAAAAAAATCCGAATTTCGTTTGTTATTCAGTCACCGGCGAGTGATGCTAGTGGAGATTTGACTTTCACAATTTTAAACTTAACGGTTAAGTTGTGAATTATTTTAATACGTCTTTTAATAGTTACACAATAAATAGAATGAGATATTTTGTTTAAATCTTTATCACATGGGGCAACCATGCTTTGGCACGAATGGGCCGGCTCGACCGCACTGGGCCACTAAATAAATTGGCGTGAAGTAACTCTGCGTTGTCGCACTTGCAACCACTCGGCCGACGACGCAGTCATAATTATGAATAAATATTTACGAATATTATATTAAATAACATAATAATATAATAATAAAATAAGCCTTTATTCAGACAAGGTATTTACATTAAAATAGTTTACAATTGTGACTCTGGTGAGTCGTTGACACCGACAACTTCGTCTATTTACTCAGCTTTGGCAAAGGCCTCCTCCATCTCTTTTCACTCTACTCGGTTTAGCGCTGTTCTCGTCCATGTATTTCCTGCTATTTTTCTTATATCGTCTTCCCATCTTCTGAACTGTCTGCATCGGTTTCTTATTCTATTTCTAGGGTACCTAAACACTATACTTTTGTTCCATTTTTCGGAGCCTCTTATTGTGTATGACCTGTCCATTGCCACTTAAGTTTTCGGATTCTGGTCGTTATGTTTTCTATTTTAGTGCGATTTCTGATAGTTTGATTACGTATTTTGTCAGATTTTCGTGTATTCAGCATGCTTCGTTCCATTGCTGACTGGCAAGTTTCAAATTTTTTGTTTTGCGCTTTGGTGAGAGCCTAGGTTTGACACCCATATGTTAGAACTGGTAGGACGCAGGTGTTGTAGAGCTTTGAATTAACAGACATCTTAATTTCTTTGTTTTTCATAATTTCTTTTAGTCGCCAGTAACAATTCCATGCTTTTCCGATTCTTATGTCTATTTCCTTCGTCATTATTTTGGTGTTTGAAATTTATTGCCCTAGATAGGTGTATTCTGTCACATACTCGATCAGTTCTCCATATATGATAATCGGGTCCTCCAATGCATTCGTTAGTGCTTTGGTTTTGGATGTATTCATTGTCAGACCTGCCACGCTGCTTTTTTTTTCCAGATCTATGAGCATTTTTTGTATATGGTCTTTTGTTTCAGCGAATAATACAATGTCATCAACAAATCGTAAGTGGGACAGGTTTTCTCCGTTTATGTTTATGCCGTACTGAATCCAATTTAGTTTTCGAAAAATGCCCTCTAAAACAGCTGTAAACAATTTTGGCGATAACGGATCTCCTTGTCTTATTCCTCTATTTATTTTTATTTCTTTCCTTCTTTTTCTAATTTTATTTTCGCTGTGCTGTTTGCGTATATGTTTTTTATGATTCTGATGTACTTTTGTTAAAATCCTTGGTTCTTGAGGCAAGTCCAGATGTACTCGTGTTCAATTGAATCAAATGCCTTGTTGTAGTCGATGAAACAACAATAGAACGGTACTTTGAATTCCTTGTTCTTCTCGAATATTTGTCTCACAGCATGTATATGGTCCAGTGTTGAATAGCCTGCTCTAAACCAAGCTTGTTCCCGAGGTTGGTTGTCGTCTAAAGTTTTGTTATACGACTTAAATTTACTTTTGAAAAAAAATTATAAATATTAGACATTAGACTAATAGGTCTGTAGTTATTTATTTCTGACTTTTCCCCCTTTTTGTGAAGGAGAATAATTGTTGATGTAGTCCACTGCGTCGTTATTGTTTCTGTGTCTATAATATCATTGAAAACATATTTTAGTAGCGGTGCAATCCAATTTCTACAGCCTAAAAGCAGTTCGTTCGTGATACCATCGGGACCCGGGGCTTTGTCGTTCTTCTGTGTAATGATTGCTTTGTTTATTTCTTCTACTAGTATGGGTGGTACCTTGTCGTAGTTGTTTAAGTCTGTATTTATTATTTGGCTCTTGCTGGAGTATAGGTTTTTGTAGAAATTTGTGGCTATTGATAGGATTTCTGTTCTTTTGGTTTTTGTTTTACAGTTTAGGAGAGGGAAGTCACTATATCATCACTTTCTACAAAATGTAGTAGATCGTGACGTCACACGATATTTCAATTCAATATATGATCGAAAGTATTATTTTTTTAAGAAAAAATAGAACGCAAGTGATAAAGACGGACATAAAAATAAAAATACCAAAGACCTCTTCTCACACTGAGAAGGTTTGAGCATTAGTCACCACGCTTGCTCAATGCGGTTTGGCAATTTGAAACTTATTTAGAAATTATTAATATAAGCTCCGGTTTCCTCACGACGCGACGTTTTCCTTCACCGTTTGTCAGTGGTGACTAAATAATCTTAGAAAGTCCATATAAACCGGAAAAAGTCACATTGGTACTTGTCGTTGGTAGGTTTCGAAGACGCGCCCTCGTGAGAAGCGACCCTCTTAAGCCTCCTGCCACCACAATATATCATAATTTAACTTTACATATCAGTCTATAAAAAACAAAACAAAATTCAAACATGGCAATTACCGTGAATTAGTAACATTTGACGAAACAACTGAAGAATAAATAAAATTTACGCAGAATCATTTTGAAAAAGAAGAAATCATAATAAAACAAGAGAGTTTGAGATGTTCAAATGTTATTTATTTAGTTATTTGTTTTTATCTTCAACTCTCCGTCAATCGTCAAATTAGTAGTAAAGGGGAGCGTTGCAGCCGCAAGAGCACTGTCCAGTAATAGATACGGCTCCAGCAGCAGCTACAGGTCCTCCGAAGCTCACAGCGCCCATGATGGGGACCTGACCAGCGACGGCGGTAGTACCAGCGACTGGCAGCTCACCAGCGACCGCCACGTTGCCTTCACCAGCACCGCCGTAAGGAGCAGCTCCAGCGTAGGCCAGACCATCATAAGCTAAAGGAGAAGCCAGACCGAATGGAGCGGCAATGCCAGGAGCAAGAATTTCAGGAACAGCAAGGCCGGGAGCAATAAGGGCATTGGCAGCTAGTCCGGGAGCAGCCCAGCCACGGGGACCAACCAGACCACGAGCAGCTAAGCCAGGCGCGGCAAGACCGAAGGGAGCCTCCACAACAGCTGCAGGGCTAGTGCACTGACTGAACACATGCTGGAATAGAATAATAAAAATTAAAAATAAAGAGTCGAGAAAATAAAACCATTGTTTTAAATCAAGTCAAATGAAATACGTTTCTCACCTGGACCAAGCAAGCTTGGATGCAGAGGAACACAAAAGCGAAGGTAGACATGTTTGATGTTCAACGAGGAGCTGAAGACTGAATGATGAACTGGATTGGTCCCCGAGCTTATATACTTGACACACTGTTCATATCAACGACGAGACTTCACATTGTGTAACTCTACAAAAGTGTTTCAATACTAACAAAGTGCGTTTCTTTGTTGGTCAATTAGTAGGCTTATCAAGTTTTGTAAGCTTCGTAAATTCACAATAACAATTACCTATATTTTTGAAAGAAACTGATAACACGGTTTAGTATAAAACCCGCGACAGCAGCACTGGACATCATTCTCGTGTCAGCACTAGAACAGCAGCATCATGTCTGTGAAGGCTATCCTCGTCCTCTGCGCCCAGGCGCTTCTTCTCAAGGTGAGAATTATTTCTTGTTTCAAACCACGACTTTATAAATAAATCCAATATGGAGTAGTTATTACTCCTGTCGTATTATTTTCAAGTCTCTTTTAACTTTCAGTCAGCTCTCATCCAAGCTTGGGCTTGTTGTCCCGCCAGTCCTTGCGTCCTCGCTGCTTCTTATTTGCTAGAATGTTGTGTTTTACTAATTAATTAATTGTTTGTTCTAGTCTGCCCTCAGTCAGTGCACCAGCCGCGCTGCGGTCGCTGAAATCTCTCCACTAGCCGCTCCTTACGGCCTGGCTGCTCCCGTCCTAGGCACTCCTTGTGGACTGGCCGCTTCTGAGCTTGTCGCTCCTTGGGCTGGCTTTGGAGCTGCTGGTTTAGCTGCTCCCTACGGTTTGGCTGGTAGAGGCCTGGGTTACGATGCCATCATCGGTGGCCCTGCTATGGAGTTCAGCCCCACCAGTGGTGGTGGTATGCCTGTGACCAGTGGCTCAGCCATCGCTCCCGTCGGTATCTCCGTAGCGTCTGACAATGTTTATGAGGGTGCTCTAGAAGTGATTGGAGAGCTGCCTTTTGTCGGAACTGTCGCTATGGAAGGAGTAGTGCCCTCTGCCGGTGCTGGTGCCGTCAACCATGCCTGTGGTAATGGCAGGACCGCCATGGCCAGTGGCTCTGCTGCCTATGCCCCGGCTGCTGCACTGGCTTCTCTTGGTGCTTACGGTCCTGCTGGTGCTTTCGCTCCCGCTGCTCTTGCTGCTCCTGGCCTCGGTCTCCGAGGTGATCTGATAGGCAGAGGCTGCGGTTGCGGATGGGCCATCTAAGACCTCTTGGCCACTCACCGAAAATATTTATGAGCTCTCGAAATGAATACATCAAAATTGTCTATCACATAACCTCAATTTTATTTAATACCCTATTTTAAAATAGTACCGGGTTGTCATGTTCATATCCGAATGTTGTTTGTTAATCTTTCATTTTCCAAGGTCAAAGTCAAAGCCTTTATTTCAATTAATTCTTAATTAGGTACGTTTAAAATTGAATTGTCCGTCCGTCTGTCTGTCAGTGAAGCTGAAATGAGGTCGTGGTTGTAAATGGGTTATCTGAGACATATTACGTGATGGTATGTGTATAAACGAAAACAGTGAAATATTTTTTTTTTCGCTACATCATCGCTTACACCATGTGATATAATGGCCAAACGTCGGTAGACAGAGGTGTACTTTATGCCACTGTACAATGTAACACCCACTTTTCACGATTTATGTTATGAGTCCCATGTAATAGGGGGTGAGCCTATTGCCATATACCGGGCACAATTCCAGACTCCGTGCTACTAACTTAAAAAACCTAGTTATACTTTGCCCGACCCCGAAATCGGACCCAGGACCCGGCAGTCGCACTTGCGACCACTCTGCCTACGAGACAGTCATTAAAAGAAATAAAATAAATAAAATTTGTGTGAGAGCCATGTACGAATGGGCCAGCTCGAACGGAGTGACACCACGGGCTCACAGTAAACTGACGTTAAACAACGCTAGCGTTTTGTTTAATTGTGTGAGTGAGGTTACCGGAGGCGCAATTACCCCCATTCCCCAACCGTCCCAAGCCCTGAATCCCCACAATCCTCAAGTTCATAATCCCCAAAAGGCTGGTAACGCACTTGTAACACTTCTGGTGTTCCGAGTGTCCATGGGCGACGCCGATTTCGTACCATCAGGCAGCCGTTCAGCGGCTTATACCATAAAAAAGTTGAATAATGACTACAAATAATTATGCAACATGCCGTCACCACATTGTTATAATCCAAATAGTGTTGACACTAGTCTAAGGACCGACAATTCAATCAATGGATAATTTTTAATCGTATAAGAAAATCGTCATCTGACAGTTTTGTATGGAAGAACTGTCAAAACTGCAAATATCATTCCTGAAATAAAGTATATAAGTACGCTAAAAACAAATTTAATTGTACGGCTCGATCTCTAGACTCGATGACAGTACCAAACGCAAATATAAGTTTGTCGAATGTTAGGGTACCCGCAATGAACATTACGCTGCAACTATTGGGCCGAAGGTCGAAATTAGCTTGACAATTATAAGCGTGAGTAAGTTTGTGTGTTGAATTATGACTTTATGACATTTATTTGTGTACTTATGTGGTATATCCTTCAATATTGTCGGCTCTTAGCCACGCGCGCCCTCTCACTCACACCATTCACAGCCGACTGAGTTGTTAACGGTCGCACGCGCGCCAGAGACGACATAATGCTTCCTTCTCTTTCACTCACACACACTACAACTTGTATTTTTATTTACATTAATAAGAAACCATTTACAACTTAAGATACACAAAAATTAAATAAAAGAAAACTAAAAATAACTATTTACACAAAGCATCAAAAAATTGTTTGTGTTGTTGCACAGAAATATTACTTTATTATATCTGTGGTGTGTTGTTTCTCAATCACGTCAAACAAAACGGCTGAGGGGACGGGGACGAAATTTAGACCAGAGGTAGTGTTCAGAACACAGAAATAATTATAAAAAATTATATCTGTTGTCTGTATTCTTTATTATATCTGGTGTTCAAAAGCTCAGGGAGTTGCAGGAATGAAGTGGACTGTATTTTAGATTTAATTTTATATTACAAGATAACAAAAATAAAGTAGCGATGTAGAAACGTTAACGTGAGGAAACAAGTGTTAGTTAAGCCGTCTGAGGGTGAAGTGTCCCCCACCAGGGCTGCTCGCCGCTCCCACTCGCCGCCCGCCGCCCGCCGCCCGCGCGCAGATCTTCTGCCGATTCGGAGTCGCGGAGAACCTAACGGGTAACCGAGGCTCCGACTCGACGTGCAGGAGAAGGAACGGGGTGGTTTTTAGTCAGTAAGAGTCTGACACTCCCTCCCGCCTCGCCCAGGCGGGAGCAGTCATTCGATGATTTTCGCCCCTTAAAAAAAACCGTGCGCCCGCGCCTCAGCCGTCGGTGACACCAGTTCACATGATCACGCGGTTGATGCGTGAACAAGTAGATTATGGTTTGGAATAACACATAAGCTACTTTTTACCCCGGTAACGCAGGTGAAACCGCTGACAGAAGCTAGTAAAATATTAAAACTTTAAATTGAATGAACTTGCACACCTAGCTTTATATGACACCTGTCGAGGCACGAGTCATTTGTTTCATAAACAAAAGTATCATGTTACTTACTGCAGGGTATTGAACGGCATTGTATTGAGTTTGGATATTGGTATTTTTTTTTTTAATATCTGCTATCTAGTTAGTTTATATAACATGGTTGCAAGTCTTATAACGTTTCGGAATAGGGTATTTCGTAATATTTCAAAAAACTGTGAAGATTAATAATTCTTTATTCGATTGACCGATTCCGAAACGTTATAAGATGGATCTGATATTCGGTACACACTCTCAATCTTGATGATCTTAATATTTTCTACAACTACCTCCATTGTGGATATCGAACGAAATGCGAAACAATAGGATAGATGCCTAATTTTGATTTTAATGTTCGTCTGGTAGATTATTTTAAATCATTAGACACGTATTTTTAATTTTCTTACAGAAGCGAATACTTTCGACGATATATTGATTTGAAATGTCGCGTGACGTCACTTCTATGTGTACTTGTATCTTTATACGTAGAAATGACGATTTAACCCCCACTCCTAAACTTTGATTCGTTTTATCTAAGTAAGTATTGTTTTATTATAGATACGACAAAATAAAAAAATCATGTCTAATATTTTTTCATTACCTAACTGACTAATTAGATTTTTAATTTTCATACCCTGTCATCATCCCAATTGTAAGTAGCTAGTTAAATTAATGATAGATTTTTTAAATAATAATGGTATGCAAAATTAAATGACTCGAAATAGCTTGTAAGCTCCTTTCTATGCATATCCTGTAGGATACATTATTAATTTAAGTCAACAATAATCTGATTGTAAAACCAGGGTTTACAAAAATATTATAACAAAGAAAGATAGAAATACAGTTTTTGGTATCAGCAATTTAATAACAAAGTCAGCAAGTCCACAGTCAAATGCAAATAGTTTGCTTAGTAGTAGATTGGAGCATTGCAGCCGCAAGCGCACTGTCCAGTGATGGAGACGGAGCCAGCAGCAGCCACAGGTCCTCCGAAGCTCACAGCGCCCATGATGGGGACCTGACCAGCAACGGTGGTAGTACCAGCGACTGGCAGCTCACCAGCGACCGCCACGTTGCCTTCTCCAGCACCGCCGTAAGGAGCAGCACCAGGGTAGGCCAGACCATCATAAGCTAAAGGAGAAGCCAAACCGAAAGGAGCGGCAATGCCAGGGGCAAGAATTTCAGGAACAGCAAGGCCGGAGGCAATAAGGCCATTGGCAGCTAAACCGGAAGCAGCCCAACCACGAGGACCAACCAGACCACGAGCAGCTAAGCCAGGAGCGGCCAGACCGAAGGGAGCCTCCACAACAGCTGCGGGGCTGGTGCACTGACTGAATACATGCTGCAATAAAATAATTATGATGAAAATAAGAGTCCACAGAACAAAAACATTTTTTTATATGTGAATAAGTATATTTCTCACCTGGACCAAGCAAGCTTGGATGCAGAGGAACACAAAAGCGAAGGTAGACATGTTTGATATTAATTTGTGTTCAACGAGAAGCTGAAAACTGAGTGATGAACTGGATCGGTCCCCGAGCTTATATACTTGACACATTGTCCATATCTACCGCGAAGAGTTCACATTGTGTAACTTTACAAATGTGTCTCAATACTAACAAAGTGCGTTTCTTTGTTGGTCAATTAGTAGGCTTATCAAGTTTTGTAAGCTTCGTAAATTCATAATAACAATTACCTATATTTTTGAAAGAAACTGATAACACGGTTTAGTATAAAACCCGCGACAGCAGCACTGGACATCATTCTCGTGTCAGCACTAGAACAGCAGCATCATGTCTGTGAAGGCTATCCTCGTCCTCTGCGCCCAGGCGCTCCTCGTCAAGGTGAGCATTCATAATTCTTTATAGTAACAATAATTATTTTTAAAATCTTCTATAAAATTTATTTGTTCTGTTGTATCTGAAATATCTTCACTCTCAATCAGCATTTAACAAACCTTGGGTATCCTTCTTCTGTTCTAGTTGTCTAAGCTAGAACAGAAGAAGGATAAGGTTGTGATTTTAAGCTTGAGATAATGTTGGTTTTACTAACTTAATGTTGTTTTCTTTCAGTCTGCCCTCAGCCAGTGCACCAGCCGCGCTGCGGTCGCTGAAATCTCTCCACTAGCCGCTCCTTACGGCCTGGCTGCTCCCGTCCTAGGCACTCCTTGTGGACTGGCCGCTTCTGAGCTTGTCGCTCCTTGGGCTGGACTTGGAGCTGCTGGTTTAGCTGCTCCCTACGGTTTAGCCGGTAGAGGCCTGGGTTACGATGCCATCATCGGTGCCCCCGCCATGGAGTTCAGCCCCACCAGTGGTGGTGGTATGCCTGTGACCAGTGGCTCCGCCATCGCTCCCGTCGGTATCTCCGTGGCGTCTGACAATGTTTACGAGGGTGCTCTGGAAGTGATTGGAGAGCTGCCGTTCGTAGGTAGTGTCGCTATGGAAGGAGTAGTGCCCTCTGCCGGTGCTGGTGCCGTCAACCATGCCTGTGGTAATGGCAGGACCGCCATGGCCAGTGGCTCTGCTGCCTATGCCCCGGCTGCTGCACTGGCGCCTCTTGGTGCTTACGGTCCTGCTGGTGCTTTCGCTCCCGCTGCTCTTGCTGCTCCTGGCCTCGGTCTCCGAGGTGATCTGATCGGCAGAGGTTGTGGTTG